TCCCAGACATTATTATCAAAGACAGAAAAATAAATATCTGTCTATATTTATACACATTATTTACATTATTCGAACTATTGTTCTCATCTTTGTCACCATATTTATGACAACATTTCGGCCGTTGTACGCTCCGGCCTTCTAAAACTGTTCCCTTTGTGGTTGGAGTTTTGGGTCTGTTAAAGAAAGGAACTCAAGAACAATCCAACAAAATTCCTAGTGCACCATCTCTCCAAGAAATCAAAGAAAATAATTCTAAGATGCACAACCCATATGCGAAGAGCTTTGTATATTTAAGTTTTCTTTTTTCTGTTCATAGCTGTCTTTTGTTTAAATGGTAACTACAAAAAATCCAATCCTTCGCTTGCCCAAAGTCGTTGGTTATGTCCCGACATGTGATTAGAAAATAAATGCAAGTTCAAAATTATAGCGATCAACTCTTAACTTTTCCGTGTTTCAGACTAAACGACTTGTGCACTAGATTCAATGGTTAAGCCCAAATTAAAAGAAGGGTATTGGATCAGAACAATAAAATCTGGGTTGCCCGTCGAATATAAACTGCCCAAGCAGATTTGATCAAACTTAGACTGTAGGCCCGGAGAAGAGAAAAACAATTTTAAATTTATATTTGCAATACATTGATTTGATTCTTACTGATTAAACGTATCCCTTAACTTGAATATTTTGGCCACTTGCCTTTTAGAAAGTCTCTATGATTGGTCATAAAAACTGAGGGATTAAAATCTAACGTCTTCCATACACAAATGCACACAAAAACACACACTCATAACTGTACACGTAGACATATACATCTTACTTATTGTAAAATGCAGATTGTGTGTGTGTGTCTGTACGTTTATATATTGGATCGGATTTCCTATATTTTTCAACCGATTTCAACAAAACTTCACAGGACTGCGTAAAATTACCTTGCGGTGGTTCTGACAGCGCCAAAAATTGGAAAAACACAATTGTTTTTGCACGAAATCAATTTGAAAACATGATAAAACACGATTCTGTCGCCAGAATGAAAGGGGACAACTCATATCGAGTTATACTTTTTATAAAACCCTGGTTGTTTGTGTGTGTCTGTTTGTGCGTGTGTGTGTGTGTGTGTGTGTGTGTGTGTGTTTGTTCGTTTATATATGGGATCGGATTTTCTACATTTTTCAACCGATTTCAACAAAACTTCCCTTTTTTTGGCAGGTAGTGTTTCTTATTGTCTTGCACACTTTTTTCTTTATTTTTACATTCAGAATGCTTTAAAAAATCCGTTTACAAGACAATTGTTTATAATAAAATTCTATTCAATCGATAGACTCATAACGATTGTAAACAATGTTTTTGTTTGAGTTTGACCAATTCGTAAAAAAAAAAAAAAAAAAAAAAAAAAACTAATTAAGACATGCGCGTCCGTCAACCTTAAACAATAATCTTTGTCAATTTTATTTTTCAGTCTTTATGATGGTAGATACTTGATCTATCTCTTACTGTTACATCCCCGGGAAACGCCGGGCTCTACTGCTAGTATAGTATACTATTTAAGATTGATTTCAATATCAAAAATAGAAGTATCAAGAAATTCGTGTCTGCATTGTGTGCGTGCGTTTGTGTACGTGTATGTATGTGTGTTCATAAATCAGTAAACCCTCCTCCACGCAACCAATTGTCAGGTGCAGGTAAATAGCATAGACTGATGGCAGGGTCTTTAAAATCTGAAGGATTATTTTCAATTCAAAGAAAATGAATTGAAAGCTTCAGTTTTTACTAGATTGGGTCTGTCTAAAAGTTACTGGAACGGTAAAGATGAACGTACACCCTTCTGCCAGACGGAAACAAAATAAAGAGAAACCCCTGTAAATTGTACCGAATCAAAAACAAGAAATTTAAATTCCGATTGAAGTTTTGAATTTATGACATCATTAAGTCAGAAACCAGAAAATTTATGACATCATTAAGTCAGAAACCAGAAAATTTCTCTTAAATTTCTGTTTCGTCGCATTTCACTAAAATGAAAAGCAATAACAAATGTTTCCATTCTGTTTGAAAGCGCGAAGTTTATTTCCCATGAAGCGTGATGTACAATTGGACTCACAAGTGGCTATGTGTTATGGTCTGGTTCATTGTACCACGGTGATAGTCCAAGGTAGAACCAATAAAGAAGAACTCGAACACGGATATGGAATAATACAGATATATTACAAACAGGAATATATACAGAGAAGTAGAAAGTGTTAGTACGAACAATCAGGTTTAGTAGTAATTGTCTGAACGCGACTCTGTTTCGGACTGCCTCTGACTCGACTGACTGACTCGCTCTGACTGACTGACAGACTCCTGACGGACTTCACTCCAGACTTCAGACGGAACCCTCTACTTCCTCTTGAGGCGCAGTATTTATTACGTATGGAATAGTCCATTATGTTATTATGGGTAAGGTCCCATAACACTATGTAAATAGATTACGAGACTATGATAGATATATTTCTATATATCAAAATAAGTCTGATGATGTCCATTTAGAAAAACAAGTTACACAGAATGTTTTTTACATTTTGTCATACAATTATCTAATAGATACAGATATACATCTATATATTATTCTTGATTATCAACCTGTTTCTTATTGCTTAAAAGGAGAAAAAAACAATTCGATCCACGTTTTAAACTGATTAAAATTCAGGAAATGCTTTATAAGTTTCTCATCACTTTTGGTATTATTGTATTTTATAGATTTTATTGATTTTGTTCGATATCATTTTGTATGGCGATTAATTCCTCTTGATTCTTCTTAATCCACTACTGACAATACCATCGACTTGAACAGTGTAGAAGTGGTTGGATACCTAATCTCACAGACACTACTGTAGCGTGTTCGATCCTCACTGATTGCTTTATATTTATGGCCTTGTAACGTACTGAACTTAACTGAGCAAATACTTGCAGATATTAGTCGGTTATTGCCTTTCTAAAGAAACGGTAATCAAATCTTTCATTTTCTTTCTATTTTTTTTTTTATAGAATTAATAAAAGCATCAAATGTTTAGTTTTATAAAATAGACTGCAAAGTGATTTGGACCCTTTAAACCAATTTTATGATCTTTACATTTGTGTATTGTAAAAGTCGAGAATGGCCGTGTATAGAGTTTTATAAATCATCCTGTGCTAGCGTCCTAAATCAAAATTAATTGAAAAGACACTTTTGCTAAGAGACACTATTTCCACTGAACTCAGTAAATATTTATTTCCATCCAACTTTAGAAGACAAAAGATTGAAACCTAATGAAACTGAAAAAGTTTGTTTACGCATGAACCCCTGCATCTTCTCATTCAGACAAAATACAACAAAAATCTCAAAAATGCAATATTAAAATGAAGGTTTAACGCATTTGTTTTAATTTTAGGTGAATTTCACTTAATGTTCAATTCAGCAACTGCACTGACTCAACAGATTTCGAACGTTGTCTGCAACATTCATGTCCAATTGAACCGAAATCAACTTTGCCAAATCCATGTGGCATTTGATGCTATGTTTGGAAATCTCAGAAAATGCGAGACATCTTGGACTAATTTCAAGAATGAGCCACTAGTTAGTATTCGAAAGTAGAAATTTCGAATATTGAGTTTCAAGGCAAATAGGACTTCTTCCATTGTAAGCTTGAATTATATTGCATTTTCTGCTATTTGCTCATAAATTAGACTGAGTTACGCTTAGTAAAAGCTTTGAAAACTTTTACATTGGATACTGTCTCTCCGGTTCGAAATGCATTTAAAGCAAACTCATTTAAAGGCTTTTCATCATAGCGTCATTATAAATACAACACTTTAGCGGTTTCGAGTAGTTTTTAGGCGACGTTGCGTAAAATTCTTCGTGTTAATTCCCACTCCGTTCAGATTTCTGCGTCAAAGTCTTGAATCAAAGAGGATATTTTTAAAATGGTGTTTGTTAACTACAGTAAAATAAAGAATTGGGAAAATGCTGTCAACATCAATTGTCTTTGTTTTATCAGACTCTTCACTTTTCTGCTAATTCTGAAGTGTTACAAATGTATTCATTTTTTGTCTGCCATTAAATTCGAATGATATATTAATTTAAAAATAAAAAGGAGACGTAAATTTCATTCAAGAAAGATTGTTAACCAATTTGAGTTGTTCTTTTTCATTTTTGAATGAAACATTTCCTTAATATTTCAAATGAAATCTTTCTTTGACAAAAGCAAAAGGCAAAAATGAAGCGAACGGTCAGGGATTTTGTCTTTCAAATGAGAGAAAGCAAAAGATATTTTAAAATGATGACAGTTCTATATCGCTGACGTCATTTGCCGGAAATTAAGTAGGCAATATTTCTGGCAATTTGAATGTAACATTTCATACAGTTCAATACTTTGAGACTAGATTCTATCCCCAAGAAAAGCTAGTAAAATATGGCCCACTGAGTGCGTTTACAAAAAAAAAAAAAAAAAAAAAACAAGACTAAATTGTAAATAATCTGAATGCGTTTTGGAAATAAAATGGTGAAATAATTTAACATAATTTTCATGACTTTAGTCTATTTATTTTTCTTCATTAAATTTCTTTATTCGAATATCATTTGGCAAAAAGTGTTAAGATCTTAAAATTCATGAAATATTTTAGATTTTTTTAAGTTGCAGAAATTTTAACGACAAAAGCAAATGAAATTTTATTAAAAAAAAGTTATTTGTTTCTCATTTGCATGAATGTTTGTTGCAATTGTTTATTGAAGACTGAACAGAACATTTGCAATTCACGCATTTAATGATCAGAACAAATAATTTCCAAACTCATCTGTTGTGACAATTTCCTTGACTCCGATTTGAAAGAAAAAAAAACGGTTAAATTGTAAATAATTTTGAAAATGTTTGACAAATAAAATTTGTGAAATAAATCGACACAATGCCAACGTCTTCTTTTGTTTTGTTTTTTAACTTCTTTTTTATTATTCAATCCATCGATTAGTGATTTTTTTTTTTTGATTATATGGCTTACGACCATATGACGTTGAAACACCGATTCCCGTACGATCACCGAAGTTAAGCAACATCGAACCTGCTCAGTATCTAGATGGGCCACCGCAGGGGAATAACAAGCGTTGTAAGCTTTGATGTGCGGGTGGCATGTCAGATAACGGCTTGGGATTAGAAATCAGAGAGTTGAGTTTCAATTCCAGTCGGGTTCGTTATATTCAAACGCGCAATTTCCCCTAGGAAAGATATGAAATCACCTCATCTCCCACAGATAAGAGTCATTTACACTATCTAAATCGTCTGGACTGTTATCCTCATCTTTATTACCCTATTCCGACGTTTCTGTCGTTGTACACTCCGCCCTTCTTCAGGATTTGTCTATATTTCTGAGATGAGATATTGTAACTATTTACACTTTTTACATTGTTCGGATTGTTGTCCTCATCTTTATTGTCATATTCACGACGTTTCGACCGTTGTACGCTCCAGAACTTCTGCAGGTGATATACTTTGGAATTTTAAACCGAACATTTATTTAGATCCAGAAGCAAACAGCAAGTAACCTACTTAAAGATCTTGTGTAAATGGGTGACAGAACAGAGATTAAGTGGGGTGGATTAGTAAAAATACAAGCATTGCTAAGAGCTACAAATTTGTGGAGAGCTATGGTCGCCTACGTCTTGAAAAGACACGGTACATAAAAGATCAATAAAGTAACTGCACGGTTCAAACTTAAAAAGACGCCCATGTCGGGGAACAAGCATCTTTATAATCTGAACAGATTTACAGACGCTTGATTTTCCTGATCAATAAGCCCTCCCCAGAAGAATTCCATTGATTGGTCATTTGATCAGGTTTTGGTAAGTGGTGAAGACTAGAACTTTTCAGCAATCATCGTAAATATTTATACTCGGATATAAAATCGAATCACATATTAATCATTTTTGTCCTAAAAAACGAAAATTATTCTTTTTTGGTGACCAGATTTTTTTAAAATAATTTTTAAAATCGGAATGTAAAATACATTTTAAAAATTCATTGTCTTCGGAAAAATACAACAATTCTGTCCTATAGTAATATATATATATATATATATATATATATATAGATAGATAGATAGATAGATAGATAGATAGAGAGAGAGAGAGAGAGAATATAGTTATCTGGTAATCTGTATGGATAATTCCAAGGGGGATATAATCCAGGGGGCTCAATGGATAAACAGATCAAAAATAGACAGCTTTAATGGTTCATAGGATGATAATGTATTTCATTAGGATTGTGATTTTTAATTCAATAAATTTTAATTTTCATACAAAAATATTGCTGATTAATTAAAAATTGAAAAAAGAAAAATTAATCTCCCATATATATATATATATATGTGTGTGTGTGTGTGTGTGTGTGTGTGTATATATATATATATATATATATATATATATATATATATGATAAAATATAGTTTTAAGGTATGATATATTTATGGATTAAAGTGCTCAATATCAAGGCTAGAGCGTATGTAAATATATAAGTGCACATTGAATTCAACACTGAATGGCAACAGTCTATTTCATGTTAAATGCAATCGTCAGGCCATATTGTGTTTAGCTATATGGCATAACGATTGCATTTAGTATGAAACAGACTATCGTCTCCGCGTATTGATTTCAATGACCACTTAGGTTATTGTCTGCCGCATAAGCCAATTGTTTTAGGTGACACAACAGATAAAAATTCAAAGGATTGATGTCGGGGAAACGTGCAAATCATGAAACTGGTCATCCTCTACCTATCCATATTTCATTGGAGATGTCAACAAGTGCATCGGAAACAATGCGCTGAAGCCCCATCATACCTGAACCACATGCGTCTTCATATTAGCAAGAGTACATCCTCTAACAGGTGTGGAAGTCTGCTCGAAATAAGGTCCCTGTAGACAGCACCTGTAAGACGTGCTGCGAGAATATATGGACCTACCAGACAGTCACCTATAATTCCACCCCATACATTAATCATAAACTGGCTGGTGTCTAGCCTGCATTGTATCTTGGGGATTCAAAATCCGCTAACAAATGTTGGTTGTGTAAATTTGATATTCCATCTCTTCCAAATGTTGCCTCATCCATAAACAAGTCTGAAAAAATAAACAACTGATCAGTAGGTTGTGCAACAAACCATCGGCAAAAGTTATTCCGTGGTGAGTGATCAGAGGTTGAAAGGCCCTGCACACATTGTAAAATGAAACGGATACATTAGCTGCTCTTGAATTAGCCTCGTCAGACGGACGAGCGGATCTCAGTCTTCCTCGGTCCATAGTCTGTCTTGCTACGGATCCTGTTTCATCAACGTGACGATAAACAACAGCAAAGGTTGGATGACTCTGCAGCCTTCGCTCTGGAAACACAATCTGATACAGCCGTGCAGCCTCGCGCCATTACCATTCGCGCGACTGTATGTAAAATCATATATGCCTGCTCACGATATGAATATCCTGCCATTGTTAAATGGAACTACTACACACGTTAAACGTTTAAGACAGACTAACCACAAATGTACGAGAATGACAAATGTAACCTAGCCTACATGGTAAATCTACCGTAAACTTTCTTTAAACCTACTAATTAAAAAAAAA